GCTTTGCCTACGTTGTACAGGTGGTTAGATCAGGTACACGCATTCAGACAAAGTTCATGGGGCAAAGCCCCGCAGGTAGGATAAGCAGGAAAAAAGCTCAGTTGAGATTCACAAATAGGAATGAACCACTACGTAGTTCCTCACTTCTGCCTGGGCTTCAGTGGTTCTGAGCACCTCCAGCAAGAGTAACATAGGCTTCTAAGACCAAAATGTAGACCTCAAACACCCTTGCCCTACAAGGGTTATTATAATCCCTCAGAAACCATGTTTCCATGGTGCCCAATTATCATTTCCGCTCATTTGCTTCATACAAGCCAAATTACGCCTAACAAATTAGAATTAACCTTTTATGTTCCTCTGAGACTGCTATTCCAGAAGTGTGATCCTTCACAGGCTTCCCAAGAGTAAACCACGTAATTAAGGAATAATATACTCATCCCAATGCCACTTCATCCAGCAATCCCAGGGGAAAATTTTTTTCTCCAAATAACTGCCTGAGGAAAAGCCAAGTGACAGGCTGGAGGAACGAAGGGCTGACTCATCACAACAACAGCATTTTTAATTTGATAGTTCATTACAGTAAAATCTGTTAAAAAGTTAGGCTGGCTTTAGCCAGATGTTCTAGAGGTGACATAACAAGACAATTTATGCCAGCATCTGACTGGTAGAATTTTCTTCGCATTTTATTAGAGGACAGATAGCGATGGCAAGTTCCTCAAGCAAGCTATGAGGTTAGAAAAAGCATCCAATAACAGTAGTATGCAAACTCAACTCGTTAAAAGAAAACATTCTCTTCTTCCCTCACTTCCACCAACAGTTCATGGTATTTTGCCACATTGTTTGAAGAACAGATAGCAATAGGTGCAGTGTAAATAATTTCCCTAGCCAGCATTGGGAAACACATACCTCCTTCTTGATCAATCAAGAAGTCACACATAGAAGAATTATAAATAACTACAAGATTTTTATTATGCACTGATGTAGCATAAGCAGCATGGAACTGAAGTTTGTTCTGTAGTACTAGATGTTAAAATTATCATATATTTCCTTGTTTTGGCTATTAAAACCTGCTCTGAAGGTCTGCTTGCCATTACATCTTCATAAGGCCACATTCCTTCCTTCCACCCATGCAATTTTAGATGAGAAATTCCCCAACCTCCCATGTATTAAAGAATCCAGCTCTGCTGACTCTGCAATGCCTGAACTAACTGATATTTAGCTGTGCTCCCTAAGTGACCGACGCGGGCAATAGGTTATTCATACTGTTCCCATAGGACATGCTGGAGAAAGCTTTCACATCTATGCAATCAAAAAAAGTTTTCTAAGAAAAGGCAAAGCTAGCTTTCTGAACCGAGAGGCCAAAAGATGAAATATATGTAGTTCCTACATCCATTTAAATCTTGAGATCTTATCTATTATGATTTTACTGTGACTGATTTGCAAAGATATTCCAGTTACAGAAATAATTTCACTACTAACCTTATCACCAGAGTATATTCACCAGGGGACTTTGGCAAACAGACATGCCCCAAACAAACCAGTATTGCATCAAGAAAGTAATCAGTGTGGTGTTATGGTCAGGCAATTAAACCTCTACTTGGAGTTTAGGCTGGCTTCTGTCTGGCCAGGCCAGCCAGAATAAGGCACATCTGTCTACAAAAACAGACATACATTAACCGTGAGATCCAAAAACAGTGCAGCGCTATCATCTTACATGGCAGCATCTATTAATGCTTGCTTTCCATCAGAACAGTTCTACTCCCTCATCTTTCAGCAGCATTATCCCAAATAAACTACTTAAATTTTTTTTTTTTTTTTTTTTGCCAAAAGCTGGGATGCAGTTGCAGTATGTGAGGATTTCCGCTTTTGATTTTAAAGCCAGCTAAGACACCTAATTATATTAATACAATATATTGTAAAAGAGTAAAAGTAGAAATACTGATTACATACTTAAAGATTTAATTTTGAAGTAATTCTTAAGGAATGACTATGCAAAGCTATGATCATAGCCTGACACGTTAATTATTAAGAGCCCATACTAGTTAAATATCTGTTTTCAATAACTAAGAAATTAAAGAGGTACATTGGGCTCTGCTATATTAAATTCATGAATCAGGTCAGTCGTAGTCATTCCTTAGAACATGAATGACTTAGTCAACACACCATTGCCATCTAAAACTATGATAAAAGCGATAAAAGAGGAAGGGAATCAACTCCACTAATGAGGGACAAATCCACGAGAGCTCTTTCCTTGGAAAGCGAGAGCAAGAAAAACTCTAGGACCAGCAGTTGTCATCATTTGTCAAGAATCAAACAGTAAAAGGTAAACAAAGCAAATCCACCAAGTAATCATGCAAACCAAAAAAGAGTGGAACAGACAAATATATACACTGCATACATCCAATTTCCAGCTGTTGCTTTCAAAAGCAGTGTCTAGGCAGCTTCTCCCCTATCAGATACAATGAAAATCTGCAGATGCAGGCTTGATTTAAGGAAAAGTCGTATCCCCAGCGTAAATGTGCAATCAGGTTAGAAGTAGACTTGGAGAAGAGTAATTAACACAACGAGACCATCTGAACTGAAGGTGTTTTATATCAAAACTGCCAACTTGTGGTTAGTTTTTCTATAGTTGCATAAAACTATCCTTCTTGCAGCTTCACGTTATTTAAAAAGATGGTTTTTACTCACTGTTACCATCAACGAAATCTTGAAACACTCCTCACTATTATCTGATCCTGTGATACTTTCTGGATTCTGCAAACCATCTGAAGTAACAGCTCTGAAGAGGAAAAACATGATCTCACTCAGCACAACTTAACTTACCTTTTTAACACTAGATACTGGCAGATAAGTACAGAAATAATTAAGGGACTGATGCCATAAAATTTCCAGCTTTCTCTTCTTGGGTGACAAAATGGAGAGGGACAGACTGTCTCCCCTGTTACTCTTCCCAAAGCAGTTTTGCTTCTTTTGGACAAATGCCTGCATTCTACAAGAGGCAGCATAAATCATGGAAACCTGGGGAGAGCGGTCATCTACTTACTAATAGAATTCAGCAAAGCACTACTCTACTTAAAATTTTAAGTGAAGCTGTTGCAAAGTTCACTTGTTACCTGCTTAGCATAAGGTTCTTCCCTGAGAAGTCAATCTGGAAAAGTAATCTTCTTGGCTATATTATCCTCTCAGTGATCCGAAGACCACGTGAGTTCAGTTCACATGAAGAAAACGCATTATTTTCTTTCACTGCCAAACATCAAAATACACCATGGAACTAGTATCCAACTTCCCCCCGCCGCCCTTGCTAATAAATTGCCAACAATAAACGTAGCGAAGGCAAAGACAACCAAATACAAGGTATTTCTAAATTCCCATTCAAAGGCTATTAATCATTACAGATACTAAGCAGAGGTAGCATTTCTGATCGTCTCTAAATACTGGCTGTCTCAAAGACGAAGGGGAACAAATCACATTGTCTATCTCAAGTACTTATTCAACCTGCATTAAAGTAATATCCAAAAGTCTCATAACATAAATCATCCTTACTCCTTGCAATATCCTAATAGTGGTGGGGATGGGGCTCCTGCATCTGGAGGTCATGCTGCCTCCTCCATTTCTATCGATGGGAATCCAAGGCACAGAAGACTTTAGTGATTCGTTCAAAGTCTCCCAAGAAGCCTGTGGTGAAGCATGGAACTGAATCGTCTCTTTAGCTATAAGCGTAAGCATGGGATTGTGCTTCCTCCTACCATAATACCTGCACACTTGCCCCAAGCAGTCAGGATAACCTGGGAAACTCTATCTGGAGTTCGGGGCAAGGTTATGTCTCCCTGACCAGCAAGACACACCAGAGACATTTGTCTGAAATGGAGTACTCCAAGGTAAAAAGCCCAGGAACAGTTTCTGACGCAAATTTATACGCTGTGAATTGGTCAAGGATATGACATGACTTCTTTCAGAGTTGTGAACTGTGAAGTAGTTTCTTTTTACCCTTCCTCCCATCTGCTTCTAAAAAAATGGGGACATGTCACATTTTTCAATGTTATTACATTATAAAAAAACATATACATTTAAGCACTCGTTACTTTGACACTATTCTAGAAGCAGAGGTCTTTTCAGACAAATAAACCTCTAGAGCGAGGGCAAGAGAATCATGACAGCATGTAAAATGCTATCTTGGCTCCAGATAGGTCTTTGACCTTTAAAAGAGACCAAAAAATTCCGTCTGAACAAAGTAAAACCACCTTTAATTAAATTCCTACATAAAACAAAATTTCTATGTAAAACAACTGTTTAAGTCAGAAGGTAAATATATATGTTTAATTCTCTTTCAAATGTCAACAAGAATTGAGAGCTACCAGTGTTCTTTGGAGAACAAGCAGTAGTTAAAGTCTATCTTGCTGATGTTCAGAAACAGTATGTTACATCTTTTAACCAGCAGTTCCTATTGCACGAAACAAATTTGCTCTCCATTTAAGCACCTAAAGGCCTGGTACCTCACCAAATAAATTAAAATAAATCCAGTTTCTTCAGCAACCATCTTAAACACAGATATCTTTGCAAGGTAATATTGCTGCAAATTTTAATAAATACAAAAAGAAAAGTTTAATGACTTCTCATTGGTGTCTTACGGATTGATCTTTTATCAGAAACACTCACTTCCCAAACACTTCCATTTTTTGGTACATATGCTCTAATAATCACTATGTGTAATATATTTACGTAAAATTTTGCATATTTATAAGTCAGTAGATCTGCATGGCACAACTAATCTGAGACACAAATTCTAACATAAGGCTTTAAGGAACTCCTCGGTGAACACGAAATGGATCTGCCTCTTACAGGAGTTGACAACAAAGCCCCAGGGGTTGAATAGGAAACCATTTTCTAGCAGGGATTTTCAGATACGTTTGGAATTGGCCTAACTTTCCTCTTACTAAAGGACCTTTTGTGCACGTGTTTGATGTCAGGGGAACAAAACTGTGCAACCCTGAATACTTTTTTTTCAAAACCCCCCCCCCCCCCCCCCAATCTTACAAAAATCTGTCTACTCTTCTTTCGGCAGCAGTATAAGACATTAAGCAGCTCCCTGTAGTACAACGATACTGTGGTTGCTATTTACAGTAGAATTAATGCATCTGTGCCAGTATGGCAGAATTCATATGAAAAATACACACAATATGGTCATTTTTAGCTAGATTAGCATCTCAAAAAATTTTTACTCCTTTTGCGTCCCGATTTTGAAACAAAAAACAGTTCTTTCAGAGGTCTTCAAACCTCCTGAATGTGTTAGAGTATATTACCCTAACATATAAAAACAAATATTTACACCTCCTTAAAGTACCAAAGAATTTTAAAAAATGCCTAGTAGCTCTCAGCGTGCAAAGTCAGCAGGCATGTTTCCTATCTGCATGGAAAGTCTTGGGATCAAGCAGTCAGAAGCAGAGTGCAAAAGAATCAGGAATTATTTCAGGTCATTTCTTTTTGTTGTTGTTTTGTTTTCTTATTTAAAATAAGTTTTGTTGGTCCAGACTACAGATCCCTTTTAAAAACACTTATCAAGGCAACATTCAGATTAATGCAACTCCAAAAATCTTCTAGGATCTGTAGTCTTTTCGAACAGTGTGGGCCATCCAATTCACTTTAGTAGTCCAACTTTCCCGGAGTGCTTCATCAAACTTTTGCTTAAATTGTTTTAGTGCTTCTTCCTCACTCTTCCCTAAGGCAAGAGAGTCCTAAGACAGTAAGAAAACAAGTACTGTTAGGAATTTTAAAACCATAGTTATGTCCCCCTTCACATTTTAACACAGATCACATTCTGTATTTTTCCATTTTTCCCTATTATTCATTTATCAATACATTAATGATATTTTCAGAGTTTAAAAATAAAACTAAAGAGGAAAGCAGATGAATCAAAAGTTATTTTGAAAATGTTGTCTAGTCTCTAGCTTAGCATTCACTGAAAATACCAAAAGAATTACTGATGAACATGCTAGTAGTCTGCAGTTCAGCAGCCAATAACGATGAGCAACGCTACACGTACAGATGATAACTCATCTGACTAAGACCATCTAAAGATGGCCCCTGGCAAAATTTTGCGTGTGTTCATCAAGTTGCAACATCATATCCCGTTCTTTTTGTCTAAAAATCTCACTAGATCTTTCCCTTGGCACTAAGCTGTCAATCCCTCGATTACTTTTTATGACCTATTTTTGGACCTGAATTAAGCAAATCATTTTCTTCTTTACAGTTCTACGCTCCTGCACTAAGCTGTGAAGTCAAACGCCCCTAAACTGACTGCACGTAAGATGCAGGGACATTGAACTCATTACAGAATGGTCGAGAGGAACAAACATTCAGAGCTTCCTTTGATACCTAGCACAAAGTACAGACTTGGTTCGATACTGCTGAAAAAGAAAGCTTTGAGAACTATATGGAAATCCTGGAAGAACTGGCCTAGGAAAACAATTAACATTTATTTCTCTTTGAATCAGAACTCACATTCTGGAAAACCGCATGTCCTGCTGAGCTATAAATCTTATTTTTACCTTGAGATACTGGATGTCCTTGACAGACGTTAGCTCTGGAAGCCCTGCAGTTAACATCAGTGCAAAGAGTGTAATAAATAAGTTCCCATGTTTTCGCAGAATCAAGTATGCGTCTTCACAACATTGGCGGAACCTTTATACGCAACCACAAAACACATACAATTAATACAACGCATGAGAACCTACATGACTGACATAAACATATCCAACAATTTCCAAATATTGTTATCTGGCCTAAAACACATAGCGTAGAAACATCACAATAGGAAGGACAACTTGTAACTGTAGGAAAAAGTAGCCCAGAAGCGCCTAAAGAACCTCCACTGCATTACCACAAAATGTCCTATACTTCTCTAACAAGCCCTTAAAACATTGGTAGAAAAGCTTTAAGAAATACACTGTTCTCCAGGAAGCGCAAAACATGCTAAAGGTAATATGCCTGCCTCTCCTAATTTGTTAGGTAAAATGCCCTGATGATCCAACATGTTGGACCTATAACGGGGGGGGGGCAGGGAAAACACTCTTTAATAGTCTCTGCTAATCCAACCTACTTTCTTACTCACATGCTCAAAACTGAACCAACACTGCCAAACCATGCAGACACTTGAGAACTTGCTCAATGTCTCTGAAATATGTCACCGCATTCTCCCAATGTGTAATCCGTACATTTCCACAAAAAACTGAAGACCTCCTCAGACCAAGAAATCAAGTTATACTTCAAAGAAAAATAGTTTCTCTTCTGAACCCATTTTTCAGATGAAGGTAGAATCCCATCGCCATTTAAAATGTTCCCTATTCTACAGCTCTTGCAAGAGCAGAGTCATCTAACTTGACTTCATGTTTTTAAAAGAAGCTAGAGGTTGATTTGTTTACTCTCCAGGAAAGGAATGAGTCTCTGGCAGTTGTCTTCCAGTCTACCTAGACATACATTACAAACACATTTATAGCTTCTTTTCCCAGAAGTAGCCATAAGACTTGACAAGCTATACCTAAAAACTTAATCTCACGTCTTTATCAACAAATTCTTCCTGGGAAGACTGATAGCAAAGTGAAGGCAAAACATCCAGAATGACTCTCCCATCAACTGACAAGAATGGTAGAGAAGGGGGGGAACCAAACTATGATAAGTAGGACCACAGAGGGTAGCGTTCCCTCATTACATATCTTTGTCTTCTGTTGTAGCTATCTCCCTCAAGTGGGGAAGGGGCATGCAGAAGTCTTGGATTATGAACGCATGCTCGTATATTCCTAAACAATTAGGGTCATGATTCATTAGCATATTGAACATGCATTGATGGGTAGAAAGAACAGCAGGGAACCTGTTGTTTACGTCCAGTGCTTCATCTTACTTGAACAATAGCCTGCCTTAAGGTTTAAAAAAAAAAAAAAAAGGGGGGGGGAGGATCTGCTATTTCTTATCAGAGGAGATAAAAAAGGAACTGTATCTTTCCACTGCAGGGCTGCAGTTTGATGTATGAAGGCATTTGTATGTCTGTTCTGTCTCAGGTAGGGAAGTAAAAAGTATTATAAACACGCGACCACACTTGACACATATAGAAGCCAGCAACTAAACCCAGAGAGGTCACTGGCTATGCTGGAAATAATCAAAGATCTCCTCAGCTACAAAAGGAAAAAATTAAAATAACACTCACCGACCAAATTTCTCGGTGTTCCCCGTTTTTCCTTGTTGAATGACATGAATGAAATCATAGGTAAGAATGAAAGGTACCCGTTCCCTTTTAATTCCAAACTTGGACTTGAAGTTTCCAAGAATATGCCCAAAATCTATATGAAAGAGCTAAAAAGTAGAAGTGAAAATTAATTTCTCAAGTGAAATACTTCCCTTTTCTAATATCTGTAAAAGTTTCCGTTATCAACAACAGTTAATTCATAATGCTGCTCTCCGTAACCTCCAGCCTGTGGTTTCAGCAGGTGGTTGCATAAGATGCAACTCTTGGAGAGTATTTAGTTTCATCACGTTTCAAGATTTATTTAAAAAAGTCAGTGACAACATCCAGGCTTTTATGAGCAACTATTGCTACAAAGCAACACGGAAAAGATTATCGCAGCTTCAAACTTCTGACGTCTCCCAATGGACATCACATAGGTAACGTCAGATAGAAAAAACGAACCCGCTATAGAGCTCCTGAGGCTCAACGTCATAGCATCCAAAGGCTTCCTACAAAGTCAGGAGCAAAGCTAGTAGGAATTTATGTTAATCTCAAGGAATCTGTGACAGCTCTCTCATTTCAGACTGAAAGAGAAAGGCATATTAACTTTTTTTTTTGCAGTAGATAAAAACTTAACTGACAAAAAAAGAACAGTGTCATGGATAAGAACATCGCAAATAAATCTATAAAATTCTCACTTTTATAACCTTGTCAGGCAGCATTTTATAGGCAGAATAATGTCACTAAAATCTGACAAAATAAAGTAGAAAGAAACAATTAAACAGGAAATATATTACCTCAGTCCTAGGTTTTGAGACCTAGAGTCACAAAGTTATATCGTTACTGAGTTAGTTGCCCATTTAAAATTTTTGCAGTGCTGGCTGGGCTGTACAGCCTAACTTCAGGAGAACTAGACCATTCAAAACCACAATTCATGTAAAGGCTGATCTCTTTCAAGATCTCTGAGACCAGACTATGACTTTTACCTAATTAATCTGAACATTAACAGGCCTTTTAGGTATTCTGAAACAATAAGTTTTACAGAACAGTCTCACTTGTCTAACAGCCTAAGCTTTAACAGTTTAATAATAATAATAAATTGATTATAAATAATAATATCAAGTCTAATATAAATAATATATAGTATATTATAGTATATTTATTACAATAGAAATAATGGAAAGTCTAGTAACAGTTTAACATAAATAAAAGTTTAAGTCTAAGCTATAATAGTCTAAGCTCTAACTGCTTATGAAACATGCATTTGTTGCTCTTTTCACTGGTCACCTGGATTTCAGTCTTCTATTTATTGAGAACGGAAGAGAATTTTAAGGGAAGTCTGTTCAAACTAATATTTTTAATTTAATTTTACTGAGACTCTAAAGAAATTAAGATAATGTAGTTATTTTTACCTACTAATAGGATTTTTACCTGACCATTTTTTCTGACCATGATGTTGTCACTGTGTCTGTCACCAATCCCCAGTACGTAAGTAGCTACACAGTAGCCAGCACAAGACAGAGTAAATTCTTCAATGGCTCGATCCAAGTCATCTCTAAAAATACAAAGACAAGTAATTGGTGCATGATATTGGTTATTCATCTTGTGCCTTTAGACAAAAAAAAAGACTGTTGCTTGCTTAAACTAGAAGCCCATTAGGATGATGTAAAATTAAAAATATTTGAGAGAAAATAATACAAGAAAATAGCTATGGAGAATGGCAGATGTGCAAACGTTATTAGAGACAACAGCACCAAGACATGAGACTCATTTATTTTTCTAGAGCTCTCCAGCCTTTGGGGCTGGGTCATTGTTTGAATGCCAAGGACAATCTGGATCTGAGCAAGACTTTGCCAGAAGAGCCACACATGCCTCAGTCACCAAGGAATTTTGTAGCTTACAGTATAGATGAGAAAAGTATTGTAGAAATTACCCCAAATTGTATTCCTTCAGCCAGTTTAAGAGAGCATCTTTGTTGAAGGCAGCAGCAGCAGCAACATTGCTACTATTTAACTGAATGTCAGCAATGGTTTCTGAACTAGAGACAGCCTCAATTAGGCCAGAGTGATCTCCAGTTGCTAAACAACCATACGGCAATATCCTGAAACAAAACAAAGATTAATGTTAAAAACAAAAATAATAAGCATTGATTCTTTCGTATATCAACACTGTGAGGGCTCAACGTTCATGTTAATTTGAACGCTAAACTCAAAAGCTGGCACACAGGTATTGCTTGCAAACGTAGAACACAAGCAATTAATTGAAAAAAAATTTTTGATGCTATTAACATATTTAAAAAGAAATTTTGAGCAACAATTATTTTTCCCTTTTACCTGTAATGAGGTGGGAAAGGCTACAGAGGGAGCTATTTCTTTTCATTTGTTAATTTACTGGCTAACTGGACAATAAAGTTTCATTCGTGTTCATTCTAGATAGTAGGTTATCTGTGTAAATGGAAAGCAGGCTCTTTTATGTTTTCTCCTATTTCAATGAAAAATGCTAGAAAATCCTTTTTAAGCATTTAACACACAGTATTTAAGTATGTAACACCTAAAAATAATATCTTCTAACACTAAATAACTTTAAACATAGAAGCCTAATGAAGAACAGGAATGTATCTTGACCGATTTATAAGAATTTTCCTGTGCGTTTATACGCTATGCCTAGTTAAAAAAAAAAAAATCTTTCCTTATTTTAAGGCAATTATATTGTAAACAAGGAAAGACAGATAAACAGCAAGGAGAGATTCATCTATATAGATAAGCATATTTTTCCAAAGGAGTTCTTTCACTTTTTGAAGAGTAAAACCATCATACTTCCAAAAAAACCAAAAAACCCACTGAGCCTCCTCACAGTATCTCACTCCAGATGCCTAAAATGCAAAATGGAACAGAAACTTCGATGCAATGTCAATATATACAATGGAAACTTAAAGCAAACTCTTTCAAGGCACTGCCCAGAAGGTGAGGTCTCCGCACTCGCACGAGGCAGGTCAGGTCAAGAACATTCTCTCGGTTCTGTTTGTGGATCCACGTGTAAAGAAACGGATGCCCATGCAAACCTGACTGTGGGGTATGAGCTACAGGCTGCCATGAAATAACCTACAGGCCCTAGAAAAAATGCGTAGGGCGAAGTAAATTTATACGTGTATATAGATAGCTATGAAGAGAAAGCACAACTGACAACAGCTTCAGCAGCATTCCTGTATTTAACAGATATTAATTTTGATTGCTGCCCCTTCACTGACACAGTCCATTATCCCAAGCCCTATGGAAAAAATCCAAATGACATTAAAGAGAACTTTTTAACATAACAGCTGTTAGAAAACTAAACATTTTCTCAACAGTGGTGAAACCGTATTTCTTTAACGCACAACTGGAGTGGTTTAAGTACTAATAAACATATAGTTGGAGATCCTTTTCCACCGACAGCAAAGTGAACTGAAAACTGGATTCAAAAAGAAGTGCAGATCTGGATCCTTCTTTCTGTTTGTTCTCATCTATTTCCCAATTAAAAATCCCAACTCTCTAGGCCAAAGGGTTCTCACCATGGACAGAAGAGCATCTGTAACAGCCCGCCAGCATTCACGCTCCAAGGAAGCACTGCCCATCCTTATCACGACATGACAAACGTAAGCCAAGTATTGCCAGGTTAAAGTGCATGCTGGCCCTCTTCCACGGCATTTCAACCCACCCTGCTTGCAGCTTAACTGGGCACATGTCCAACAACTTCCCCTTCAAAAGCAAGCAATGATGAAAGCCTTCAGCCCCTTGAGGACTGTGTGCTTACAACTAAAGGAAAAAACATCCTTGTCAGAGAGACAGTTTGACAGGAGTCAAGTTAGGGACAAACCCTCAGGGCCCTTTCCATCTCATCCTGGTCTTTCTGACTTCAACATCTGTCACTGGGATACGTTCCCTGCTTTTTAATGCCACTGGCAGACCACTGACAGACCAATACACCGATCCTGGGCAGGATATAAAGTTTTTCTTTCTTCACTGTATTCTTCTCAAACATCATAAAGAATCTTTTCCCTCCCTTTAATACTGATCCTTATTTCAGGATTTTAATTCTCTAAGGCAGTGTCTTTCCAAATACAATGCTTTATCAACACATTCTCTGTAATTTCCAGTCGAGCAATTTCAAAATAAAAAAGATTCCTTAGACCTGTAACAAAGGTATTTTCAAATGTTTTTGTAAACTCATTTCATTCACACAGACCCCAACATCAGACTTCACACATATTAAGGAGAAAAATGAAAATTCAATACAGATGGGCAACGAAATTAAAAAGCAGTTTGGAGGAACTCCCTCTACCTGTTCCAAAAGTAACTGAGTACGGAATACTTTTACAACAGTTTACCACGGTAAACATCACTTGACATAGATCAAATTCCTCAAACTTATTTTTTTTTGTTGCTCTGTTACTTTACCAATTTATCCTTCAGCACAACTGCAATAAAGCTAAAGCAACGCAAGTACCTTTTGGTGCAAGGTTTACTCTCATAAGAGCTGCAACACCACAGAGCCCACAGAAGAGCATGCTTGGGAAAACAGATGGTATGCTCCTCTGCTGCGATATATTCCCAATATTTAAAATTTCCTCATAAAAATAATGGAAAGTTTTGTCATCTATTACAATTATGTGCACACATGATTTCAGGCTTTTAATTTTTTCAAGCAAAAGTAACTTGAAGTTGTGACTCTTGAGAGGACTTAATTCTCTGAAAGTCTCGTTCTGCCACTCTGCAGATGCAATCTCTATATAAGTACCGCTTAACTGAGTAACTTTGTTCCATGACTGCCCATATTTAAAGTTAAAAAAACAACTAAAGTATACAAAGAACTAAGTTCAGTTCCACATTGTTGCTAATTTCTTAGGCCAACTACTTCCTGCTG